GATAGATAGATAGATAGATAGATAGATAGATAGATAGATAGATAGATAGATAGATAGATAGATAGAATAGAGAGATGATAGATAAACATAGGTGATGGATGGATGGATGATAGCATTTTTTGTTTAATAGATAATTTTAGATGTCTTAGAAAACAGATTGGTATTCAGAGGCAATGACTGACCATATTAATTGTATTTGTTCTTCCATATGTGCAGACCACTAAAAATGACACCCATGTCCTTTTGGGAGAATTGGGTCCATGCAGTTCTTCAGACAAGCAGACATGCCTTAAGTCAGTAGTGCTACTAACAGATCAAAGGAAGAATGTAAGTTTAATGAAAATGATGATGGTATAGTTATTATCAACTTGTTCATCCATACTACAATGTCTTTTATTTCATTTGATATCTGTTTCTCTTTGTCGGCCTTAAAAAAAATCAGATGATGTTATATTTTTATTATTTCAAGAAATTGTAATAAGTATTCACATTTATGATTGTGGTTGCTGATTATACATAATTGTGTTTGATTTACATTTATTTTGCTGTTATTTACATTGATAATATGCTATGTATACAATATGAATTAACATTATTATTGCCCAACAAAATTTTTACATTAAATAGTAATGAGAATTATTTTCAACAATTATTTTTATTTTATTAAATTTATTAAAAATAACTTTCTTCTTGATCCATTACACTTTTGTGATTTAGCTAGCAAAGCTAAGTAATATATACTGTTAACTCTTCAGTGAGGGATGGCAACCAAATTCCTTCTACAGTGTACTTTTCAATTGGCTGTGCAGTGGATAGCCACTATTGGGAGGTCATAAACGTTGGTGAGAGGTAATCTGGAGTATTATAAATTCCCCTCAGTGTTTTCTGATCTTTGCAACTTTCAGAGATATGGACTTCAACTCCCGTAATTCTTAGTAATGGATATTTTATCTGGAGAAAACTGGGTAGTGAAGGTGACACTTCAGGAATTTGCTATCATTGGGAAACATTTCCCTGGAGGAAAAGTATAAAGAATGCAAAACAATCTGGCCAGCCAGGAAAAGAAATTGCACGGACGGTGTTTCATCATTCCTTCGCTGAAAACACAGAAGTCATAAATATAGCTGCCAATTGTCAAAATAAAATATAGTGATCTAAGTCAATTTATTTAAATTTGAGGTTTTAACTGCTTTCTTTCACCAGTTAATTAAATATTGTATAAAGAAACTGAAACATTAATATGTGCTGTTATTTATAAAATACAGAGCTTTTGTTGTCATTCTAATATAATAAGACTCCCTTTTTACAACCCTGTAAATTGTAATGTTCTGTTTTAAGGATCCCCACAAAGTTGTACTGACATAATATCTGTATTTTCTCTCACACAGATTGTAGTTTTCAAATCAGATGGCAGTATATTACTGAATGAAATGGAGATTCATTTGCCATACAGAACAGGTAAAGAAGGGAACCATTGCTTCTACATATTCCAGCATTGCCTAGATTGTCGCCAGCCTTTTGGATCTCAGGGACCACGAAACTCATACTTTTACATCCCGAGGACCACTAATACAATTTTTTAAAAAAAGCTAATATATTTAATATTTTTTTTATGTTAAATATAAATTTTATATATATATGCATACATACATACATACATACATACATACATGCATGCATGCATACATACATACATACATACATACATACATACATACATACATACGGTATTCAGCTTTGTTCGGGTATTTTCCCACGTCATTATAGTTGTGCTTTTAAAGTTGTAGCAACATTTCGGCAGAATCTCATCTGCCATCATCAGGCTTCTATAATGACATGGGAAAATACCCGAACAAAGCTGAATACCATACATATAAATACCTGCGAAAACTTAAGAAAACATACATATACATATACATATACATACATACATACATATATATATATATATACACACACACACATACATACATGATACACACACACACCTACCGCTGTGGCGGCTTTGCCTGTGTTTCTGAGGCTTCGATGTTGGGAGAGACAGCAAGGGCTGGAAAAGGGGAGAGCTGTGCACGGCTCCGTCTCCCTTTCCTTTCCTGCCTGCACGTGGGTGGGGGGGAGGGGGAGGAAAGAGAGAGAGATGGGAGCAATTCAAAGCTAGAGAACTAGTGGGGAAGAGCTGACAGCGGGTGCTGGGGGAGGGGACTGCTGTTGCCGCCACCGGCAGGTGTAGGAGCTGGTTGGTGCGTGCATCTCAGGGGCCTCACTCCAGGGTCCCTCAGAGAGCCGGGAGGTGCAAGAACTGCACGGCCCAGATTAATTGCTTTTGGGGGCCATTTCTTCTGCAGCCCACCAAAATTTTTCCATTGCCCACCAGTGGGCCGTGGCCCACCGGTGGACAACCACTGGTCTAGACAGCCTTCTGTTTGGGCTTTAAGATATTAAATAAGTTAAGAACAAAAGGATCACTGACATGTGGGATACCGTCAAATAAAAGAGATATTGAAAAGGGAGATTGAGATGTATTTCCATGATAAATTCAGTAGCTACTTATCCCTGAGAGTAATGTGCTTAATAATGACTTATAATTCATGACTCTTTCATTTTTCATTGTCTTCTTCCCCATTAAAAAAACAAACATCAATGTTCTAGTTAACTATTCTTACTCTCCTGGAGAAAGACATTTAATATTATTTTCTCCCCTTTCACATTAAAGATAGAGGACAAATTGATTACATTTGGCACAGGTTGACTAAACTTTCCCTTTGTTTTTCTAGGTAGTTTCTCCATTTCCCAGCCATCATCATTCTACACTATTGTGCTCACAAATTATGGGCTAAAAATGCAGATCCAGCTGTCCCCAATGATGCAACTGTTTCTCATTATGGAGGATTTTGCCAAGGGAACTCTCCAAGGCAAGTCAAAACTTTATCTACCATTAGAGGAAATGTAAAGATTTTGAAACATCTAGAAACAAGCAAAGTAATAACTAGCAATCAGCACGGGTTTGTTAAGAACAGATCATGCCAAACCAATCTTATTTCATTCTTCAACATAGTGACTAAATTAGTTGACCAGCAAAGTACTGTGGACTTCATGTATTTAGATTTCAGCAAGGCATTCGACAAAGTAGGCCACAATCTACTTCTTAGTAAGCTAGAAAAAAGTGGAATAGATAGCACCACCACTAGATGGACTTGCAACTGGCTGACAAACCATACTCAACGAGTAGTCCTTAATGGGTCTAAGTCTACATGGAGGGCAGTAAGCAGTGGGGTGCCACAAGGTTCCGTCTTAGGCCCAGTACTCTTCAATATCTTCATTAATGACTTAGATGAGGGAATAGAAGGGGAACTTACCAAATTTACAGATGATACTAAGCTGGCAGGAATAGCTAACACCCAAGAAGATAGGCTCAAGATCCAGATGGATCTTGACAGACTAGAACACTGGGCCATATCTAACAAAATGAAAGTCAGTGTAGAGAAAAGTAAAGTCCTACACTTAGGCAAGAAAAACCAAAAGTATACATATAGACTGGGTGAAACCAGGCTCAATACAGTAACTGTGAGAGGGATCTTGGAGTCTTAGTGGACAACCAGCTAAATATGAGCCAGTAATGTGCAGCAGCCGCCAAAAAAGCTAATTCAATCCTAAATTATATTAACAGAGGGATACAATCAAGATCAAGGGAAGTACTAATACCACTCTATAAAGCTTTAGTAAGACCACACCTAGAGTACTGCATCCAGTTCTGTTCACCACATTACAAAAAAGATGTTGAGACTCTAGAAAAAGTACAGAGAAGAGCAACCAGGATGATTAGGGGACTGGAGACTAAAACATATGAAGAACGGTTACAGGAACTGGGCTTGGCTAGTCTAGTAAAGAGAAGGACCAGGGGAGACATGATAGCAGTTCCAATATTTGAGGGGCTGCAACAGAGAGGAAGGGGTCAAGCTATTTTCTAAAGTGCCTGTAGGCAGGGGTGGGATTTTACCAGTTCCCACCTATTTGCTAGAACCGGTTGTTAACATTCTAAGCAGTTCGGAAAACTGGTTGTTAGAAGAAATTACTGGCCTAATCCTGTAAGGAAGGCATAGGTCATCTAGTCCAACCCCTCGCCGGTGTTACTTACAGAAACTGCCTCTCCGTTAACCCTTATTACATTCTTGGCAGGACTAGACTTCCTGTCTCTGGAACTTCTCTGGAGTTTTCCCCCCCTCCTTTGCTGGTACTTTGCTTGTGTGGAGTGACCATTCAAAGTTACAATGGCACTGAAAAAAAAAAGACTAATAACCATTTTTCACACTTGCGACTGTTACAGCATCCCCACAGTCATGAGACGCCAGGCGAGGAGATACGTGCCTTGATGTGAGTGATACTGAGTTGGCCACATTCAGCCAATAACATGACCACCAAGCCATGTCCACACAGTCACATGACCACCAAGCCATGCCCACCACCTAAGCCATGCTTACAGAACCAGTTGTTAAAAATTTGAATCCCATCCCTGCCTGTAGGCCAGACAAGGAATAATGGATGGAAACTGAACAAGGAGAGATTTAACCTGGAAATAAGGAGAAACTTTCTGACAGTGAGAACAATCAACCAATGGAACAGCTTGCCCTCGGAAGTTGTGGGAGCTTCATCACTTGAGACTTTCAAGAAGAGATTGGACTGCCATTTGTCAGAAATGGTGTAGCGTCTCCCACTTAGGCAAGGGGTTGGACTAGATGACCTATAAGGGCCCTTCCAATTCTGATTATCTGACTATCTGATATCTGAATGGATTTCTTCTATCCAACTTTTGAATAGTAGTGTTGGAAGAAATCTCCATCTGGGTTCAGTTCCAAGTGGGAAGAAAGACACTGGAAACATGAGGCTGCTTGGAAGGATGGTTTAATGGTGAAGCAGCAGCACCAAGCATGTGTGATTCTGGGTAGCTGATCATATGGAGGGAGACAGATATATATTTATACCCTCTCTTGGGGCCTTGCCCTAGAGCTTCCTGATCCTGTGGCAAGGACATATATCCTATTGGCTGCTGTAGGGATCATGTGCAAATCCTAGGAATATGTCTGAGATAAGCTTGGTTGAACTGTGCTGGGTGACGTAAGGAAGGGGCTTGTGTTTTGAAAGGGTGTTAGGCAATTCCTATTATGGCTTAATGGTTTTTGTCCTGGTTTGGATCTTGAGGGAGGGCTAATCCTATCACCCTGGAGCTGAAGGCCTTTTGTTTTGTAGATAGGATGGCTAGTCTTTCTGGGGCTATTAACAAAGGTGGGGGCTGCTTTCCAAGATCATGTTTCTCCTTTTCTCATTCAGGGAGATATAATATTCTGCCTTTTTAATATTTCCTAGAATATTTCATTCTTCTAGGAGAGGGGTGGGTGCTAACTTTCTACAATAGAATGGAATACCAGCCAAGCTATTAACTTATTTTGTGGCTCTTCCACCTTATAATGTATATCCCAATATTTAAGATTTTTGTTGTTGCTAAGTATGTTGTTCAGTTTGATGTTTATCCATTTAATGTCTCTATATGTGAAATAATCTCACAATAATTTGTTCTCATATAAAACAAAGCTACTTTGGAGTGTTTAATAGTGCTGATTCAAAATGTTAACATGAAGAGGCCTAAAAAAATTCAATGTTGGATACACTTTTCTCTGAAATCCCAACTCTCCTATTCCCTTATTTATCATTCTGACTAAAAAGGGTCACCTCAGAAGTTAACTTTCTTGCAATAATACAATCAGGAGCATTGACATAAGTAAGAACTGATGTAAAACAAAACAAAACATACTACCTAGTAATGTTCATGTTGGTTTAGAATTACTGTTTGGTGTAATAGGAACTTATAGAGCCGTGATGGCACAGTGGTTAGAATGCAGTATTGCAGGCTGACTCACTGCTCACATCCTGATGGGGTTCAAGGTTGATTTAGCCTTCCATCTTTCTGAGATCAGTAAAATGAGGACCCAGACTGTTGGGGATGATATACTGACTCTGTAAGAGAGGACTATAAAGCACTATGGGATGGTATATAAGTCTAAATGCTATTGCTATTAATAATCAGAAAATCTTACAAAAACAACAAGTTTCAACCAAGACATTCATTTGTTGTTTTTATCAACAGGACTTTGCGGAGATTACAATGGAGTAGAAAGTGATGATTTAAAAGCCTCAGGTGGAGTGGTTGAAGCAACAGGAGCTTCCTTTGCCAACTCCTGGAAAGCACAAGCTAGCTGTAGTGATATGGAAGATAAGTTGGAACACCCTTGCTCTCTGAGTCTTGAGAATGGTAAGGGATGAGTGGCTTTTGTCAATAAATTCCCAAATCCACTAACATCAAGATAATAAATAGCCTATCTCCAAGTCTGGTCCTAATTGCAAGCTGTAGTCTTTCATGTGTTGCATATATCTCTGCTAACCCAAAGGCTTTCAATTGAGTATTAGCAGCAATTTTCAAGCTCTCTTTTTAGAAGATTCATTAAAAAACAACCCAGCTGCTGAAGATAGAGAAAATTTCCATTTTGCCAATTGCTGTTATGAAAATGGATGGCAGGCTTAATGCTTCCTACAGAATATATTTTTCTTCTGATGATGCTCTCTACTTCCAAACAAGTAAAGATTAGGGAGATTAAACCTACAGAGGCAGTATAGTTCTCTGGTGATCTGGTAGTTCATAATATCCATTGTTTTATACATTCCATTGCATAGGGTTGCACAAATTCATTGCTGTCAGCTTCAATATAAGAGCTATGTATGCAATGCTTAAGGTGCTCATTTTGCTTTCCTTTACTGTGTGGTGATCAAAATATCTGAACAGTAGAATACTGCCAGAAACATCATATGAGAAACAGAAAAAAACATTAAATAGCTGGTAACCAAGTGTCATTGCTCTCTCTGGTATAGAAAAATATGCTGAATACTGGTGCTCTTTATTGAAAAGTACAAGAGGTCCTTTTGCCAGATGCCATTCAGCAATTGAGCCAACAGATTATTATAAGGTATGAATTTTTAAGATCTTGCTGATCATCCAATATTTTAGACTTAATTTAGGTCACTTAAAACCTGAGGCTTTCTGCGTAGTTTACTAAGCATTTTTTTTTTAAGAACTTGGCTTCAGGCATACTCAAATGGCAATGGTTTTTGTTTTAGTGTTTATGCATCTATTTGAGCTCCAGTACAGCACTGCAGCCAATTTCTATTTTTTAACCAAGGCAGTAGCTTTCCTTTAGGTGGTTTGCCCTGGGAGATGCAACACAGTCTGTTTTCAGCTTTTAAAAACACATTTTTTTTTAATAAAATGGGAGTAGTACACTCCAATATGTGTGTGGGAAATGGTTGGAACCACTCTGGTTCAGCTTAGATTTTGAAAGAAAAGGAAAAGGAACCTCCCTTATGTAAACTCTCTAGATCCGTGTTTCTCAGTCTCAGCACCTTTATGGTTGGTGTACTTCAGCCCCTAGGATTCTGAGAGTTGATGTCTACCAATCTTAAAGCAGACAAAGGTAAAGAAACATTGTTCTAGATGTGCCTTTAGTCAGGAATTTTGGGAGCTGGAGTCTGAGCTCATATGGAGGATGACAGATTGAGTGGGAAAACAGGCCATTCCTAATACGAGTTTCTTGCTCTGTATTATTCTTCCCATCACAATTTGTACCATTCTTCTTTTTTTTTAAAAAAAATTAAAATATAGTTTATTAGTTTTTACAATTAAAACCAACCAACAGTACATACACAACTAAGCAAAGGAAAAGAAAGGAAGAAAGAAAAGGAAAGAAGGAAAAAAGAAAGAGAAAAAAAGAGAAAGAAGGTTAAAAGCATGTACCATTCTTAACGCAGGTCTTTTGTTGTGTCACTGCACTTCCATTGCAATTGTGGAATAGAATGCTGCATTCTGCCGATAGCTATTCTCAAGTGCCTGTTCTTCATCCATTGACTCCTCTCATTAATCTGGGATGACTGTTTCCTTGATTGCTATTTGTTTCAGCGTTGCAAGTATGATACCTGCAATTGTAACTCCAATGAACAATGTTTGTGTGCTGCCCTATCATCTTATGCCAGAGCCTGTACTCTCAAAGGAGTCCTTTTGTGGGGCTGGAGAAAAGAGATCTGCAGTAAGTATCTCCAATTTCATTCTGACTGGGTATGACAAACATGTTTCCCTTCTTCCTTAATCCATTGATATCAGTGCCTCTTTTTTTTTTTAAAAAAAATCAAAACAGGACGGCCCTGGGTTAACAATTAAGCAAAATAAGTATGTGCTTAGGGCTCCAAGGGAAACCCACAGAATTTCTTCACTTAGCTATCATGCCTTTAATGCTTCCCTTGGCATACTCAATTTTAATTTTCATCACTAATTGAATCTTAAGGACTTATTGGTTAAGCAATGGAAGGGGCACCACTCTGGGACTGTGTTCAATTGGCCTTAATCCAGTCCTAAAACATGGCATATCTAGATAAATTGCATCTGAGGGAAAAATACTAAGATATACTATTTATAGCAACAGGGAAGTTCATAGGATCATGATTAACACATTCAGAAGAACTTCATAAAGCTTTAGATCACAGAATCTATTTTTAATCATTCCCTACCTTTATATGTTGGTGTAATGCTTTTATTAGTAGTCAGTTCTATCTATCTATCTATCTATCTATCTATCTATCTATCTATCTATCTATCTATCTATCTATC